GGAGATAAGAGCACGTTGTAAACAGTTGGCTTTTTATGGGAGTAAAACTGGGATGAGTACACTTGAAATACTTTAACTTCTTTTTACTCTTAATTTGCAGGGCATACAAGTAGCCCGGACTCATGAATTAAAGCCCTACATTATATTCATCAAGCCATCCAGCATAAGCTGCATGAGGCAGACTCGTAAAAATGCCAGGGTCATTACGGATTATTATGTGAACATGAAATTCAAGGTGAGATTTGGGAATTGAAGAGACTCAGCTTAATATTCTGGGATTCTGTGTTTAGAACATACTGCGTTCTACTATGTTACTAGGTTAACTCTTTAAAAGATTTTTGTGTCTTTAGGATCAAATCTAAGTTATTCTTGTCTTTTTCTGTTTGGTTTGTTGGGATTTTTTCCCCCCTCCAGATTTGCTTTGAAGCAGAAGTGTTGTAATTTGCACCTAGGGGATGGAGGCATTTTGCTTCAAAATGCCTTTAAAGGAGAGGCTTTTTTTTATATCTTTGTTTTTATTAACTGCCTTGTGACAAGATTTAAGTCAACACATACATTTACTGTTTGCACTGAAATATCAGGGATGTGCTTCATTCGGTAATTTAATCAAATATTTTTTCATGTAGTTATAAGAATGTGTTGTTATTTCATGTATGCTTAATGACAGTATCAATATCAATTCTATACTAAGTTCTATAGATAAAACACAAATCCTGCTTGTAGGAAACGCATATCTTGTATTTACAGTGTGTCTAGTGCATTGTCACAATTGTTTCCATGCAAATCATCGTAAAGTTTAGCATCTTAAAATTTTGGAGACCTCAGTCCATAACTGTATATGGAAAGGAATCGTGATTGCTATGGCAGAAAGAAACAGGAACACTGGGGAAATAAACTGAAATGTGGAACGAGAACACAAGTGCTAGTGGATTTGCCTTCGAGTCCCTAACATCCTCTGCCAGCACTTGTCAGTAGAATAACCTTTTTGGGGCAAATGGAGCATACTGAGAGACACGGTATCTCCTTGGGAAGAATATGGCAGTCGGCTCTGTTTCAGAGACTTGGGACTGACTGTAGCACGTATACTTTACTACAGCAAACTGTAAATGACATAAAGCACACTGGCACTATATTCACCTCTTGTTTACGTGGCCCAAGGTGTTCTGCAGATGCCATGCAGGTATGTTTGTTTACCACATTAAAGCTTTATAGACTTACTCTGTGTCCCGCAGGAAGAAGATTTACAGGAGATGGAAGATTCGGCTAAGAAAATGGAAGCTCAGTTTGGTCAGTTCTTTGATCAAGTGATTGTGAATGACAATTTACAAGAAGCATCTGCGCAGCTGCTGTCTGCGGTCCATCATGCACAGGACGAGCCCCAGTGGGTCCCTGCAGTATGGATATGCTCAGACACTCAGCCCTAATTCTGAGCAGCAGGCAGCTTCAGAAAGATTACAGCTTGTGTTTTACTTCAAGAATAATCCTCATGTCAGGATTGCAAGAATTTATCTTTGTATGTGAGGGATTGGGAAGAGGATTAGGAAAGAAGCTGCTACAGGAGATGTAATCATACTATGTTCTGTGTAGGTCTTCAGCTTTTTATGTTACAGTTGTATCCACTTTTGTACAAAAAAGGAAATATTGTGAGCTCTCAATTACAAGAATAAAGCAAAATCTATTTTGTTGCATGAATCTGCATAATTTGCTTGTACATAGCTATGGAAAATTCCTTTCTTTTTATTATGGTCATTCTGGTACTGTGATACCTGTACATTCGGGAAGCCTTACTGACAAACGACACTCAGTCAATGTTCAGTCCGGAGCATGCTCTTTTAGCATGATGTCTTTGAGCAAAGAGTGTTATTTATGAAGGTATTGGTTTGCCGCTTATCCTTTTTACCTTTGAAGACGGGACAGAGTGGCATTGTCACAATAAAAATGACTCTAGAAACCAGTTATCTTCACAATACGTGTAGCATGTCTCCCCGCAGTGCCCGGGAGACCATGTCTCTGTTCCATCAACTCAAGTGGGTAAAAACTGCCAGAACATGGATTTGCCAAAGAGGGGAAATAAGGTCTGAAGCCCCTTTTCCCATTGGTTTGCTCTACAGTAGCATGTTCTCCTCATCAAATGGTGCAGTGCTTGTGGCAAACATGTTCCTTGCTCTCTTCACCTTGCATTACAGCTGTCTTGCCCTCTGAGGAACACAACCCATCATTCTGTTGGCCTACCTCTCCTTGGAGGAAACCCAACAAAAGCAATTTAAACAGTCTAGAAAGAGATTATTCAAAGCCAAATATTGCAGCTACCAGCACGCCTGCTTGTTCCAGCGTCAGGCCTAGTATTCCTTGTTTAGAGGTAAAACTGGACAGACCATGTCACTGGTGCGGGCTAAGTACAGGTAGAGAGTGAGGCTGGTGCCAGCTCTGTGCTGCTGGTCCATGACCAGCTTCCCACTTCTGCTGCCTAGTCCAGCCTTTGTCCACTTTCTCCTTGCCTATTTTTCATGGGTTTGCTTACGGACAGATCTGCTTTCACTATTAAAAAAGAAAGGTGTTCTCATTAGAGTTGCATTTGCTTCTTGTGTCCATTTGTGCTGGAACAAATTTTTATCACATTTTCTACTTTTTTTTTTCCATTTACTGTGTATGACTTCATTTTGCAAATTGTGTCCGCGGCTACAAGCTAAAGGAGGCTAGAAAGCTTGTTTTCCGACTAACGTGCATTCGACTTTGCTCGCCCGCGGCCCGAGGGACACGGACCCCCGCCCGCGGCAGCA